CTTAGTAGACTGGCAGTTTTGTTAAGTTATATTTTCTAAGAAATTCTGCTTCACTGAAGTTTTCAAATTTACTGGTATCTTTTCATGTAATTTTCTGTTTTTCAATCTGTGCTTATTTATACTTATACTTCCTTTTAAATTAACATATTGTGTCTTCAGGCATTTTTAAAATCAATCTTGCCAGAAATTCATTAATAATTTTGTATTCTTTTCTAATATAAGCATTTAAAGCTGGAAATTTTTCTCTGAAGTACCACTTTAGCCACATACCACAAGTTTTAATATACAGCATTTCATTATCATTCAGTCCTAAACTGTTAATATCTTTTATCATATATAAATATCTCATAAAATAGATTCATAATTTATAATATATATAGTTTCTCAAACTTCACTATGCTAGTGAAAAATGTAGATTTCTGTGCTTTACTCAGAGGCTTTCACTAAGTAGATTTGGGCTAAACCCAGGAATTTGCATTTTTATATATATATATATATATATATATATATATATATATATAAATAAATAAATAAAATACCCAGGTGATTTTGATTAGGATCAAATGTTGAGAAACAATTATCTAGAATGGCCCTGTCCAATGCCAACGAGGAACTGAATTTCTAATTAAAAATTTTTTTTCTTGTGCTTTTTCTCCCCAAATCCCCCCCATACATAGTTGTATATTCTAGTTGTGGGTCCTTCTAGTTGTGGCACGTGGGATGCCGCCTCAACATGGTCTAATGAGTGGTGCCATGTCTGTGCCCAGGATCCGAACCAGCGAAGCCCTGGGCTGCCAAAGCAGAGCGCGCGAACTTAACCACTCAGCCACGGGGCCGGCCCCTCATTAAAATTGTTTTAAATTAATTTAATATTTAAATAGTCACATGTGGCTGCTGTCTACTGTATTGGACAATGCAAAAACAGGACATCTTTATGAAGACCTTAGTTATTTTTAATGGCAATAATTTATTTTAATACACAGCCCATAATCCTGAAACTTACAAGGTAATAAAAACATGTGCCAAAATTAGGCTAGAGAAAATTTGTTGCACATTCTGTTCAGCATAATTCCACAAATCTTTCATATGATGAACAGTAATATTTTTAGAAGTATGTAGGAGTGAAGAAGCTGTGGAAATGAGAATATATTCTCTCTTACATTAAAGCTACTAGATCTTTTAAAAAAACACTACAAAGAAAATAATTTTAAGACTTCTTTCATCTTCAATGTCTAGAAAAAAGTAACTTAAGATGTTAAAAAATAGTTATAAGGATAAAAATTTGGAATATTCACAAATGCTTGCTTTTAATTTTATACCCAAGTAGACTCACTGATGGAGTAGTTCTGAAATCTTTTCAGTTCTAAAGCTTAATTATACATTTCAAAATTCACTGCAGGCTATCTCACAAAAGGAAGACTAGGCAGTTCTACGTCACAAGGAAATTTACTGCCAGAACAGACATGGAACTGCAAAGGATATAGTCAAACATGATAATGAAGAAATAAAAAGAAGGAAATGGATAAGACCCAGTTTTCCTCTTTCTCTCAATTTGTATATGACTTGTTATTTATGAAGTATTATTACAGAACTTCTATTGCTTATAATATTAAGGAACGTGTATCACCTGAAGTCTTCTGCCTCTGCAAGTAACACACAAGGTATATGTTTTAATGTTAGAGAAAGAAACAACTTAAATGAGAATCCAAAATGTGGATTATATGGATTTATATGTACATGCATATATGCCAGATATTTATAATTTTTTTCCTAAATGAAAAGCATATTTGCATAGATTCCATAATTTGATTTTAAAAAATTCCTGATAATTTATGTGGGCTTTACAATCTCACATTGTTTCCCTTGACCCTGCTTTCACTCTACATATTACAATCACAAATTATTTAGGAAAAAGAATGGGTAAGCAGGAAAGGATATGAGCAGACAGGACAGAAGGTGAGGTATAAAATTATCATCTGTGTATTAGAATAAATTATTGTAATTCAAAACAACTAACACTTATTTAAAGACACCTACCAAATAATAGATAACACTAGGTATAAAAACTAAGTTGGTTTTACCAGTAGAGATGGAGGTTCAAGGTTTGAGAAAAGTTATGTGAAACTTAAGTGTGGGAGAAGGTGCCTATAACTTATGCAGAGAGACAAAGAGGCATGAAATAGGAGGATGAGGAGGGGATGACTTATGAAAAGAATAAGTCAGCTGATAGTAACTCAAAGTAACAGAAAAAGAAATGGATTATTATTCAATAATGAATCACTTTGTTTTGTATTTGAATTATTCTGTTCTTATTTAATTTTCCTATACAACTTTCTGATTGCTTTTCAGCTTTTCATCTGACTAGTTATCCTCTCAGCACACTTAACTGGTCAAAAATAGGTACCAGTAGGAGTCCCTTTGAATAAAATTACCCACATTTCAGCATCACTAGAGTATCATTTTGTTTCTCCTTTAATCAGAATTTCTAAAAACTCAGAAGCTGTCACTTTTTAAATTAACCACAGCAGGTAGATTTGCCTCTCATTTATACACATGATCTATTGTGACTGCACTTGGGAGAAATGATTCCATGATGGACAGGCTCTTAAGCTGCCTCAGGGATGTCAGGTTGCCTTCCTGAAATGGGTTTTTTGCCAATTTCCTTAGTATGATGATTCTTATGGTAACTTGCATGGCAATACTTTGGAATATTTGATCCCTAAGAAAATTTTTTAAAAATCAGTAAATAAGAGCAATCTTATAAGCTGGTTATATCCTTTTCTTCACCACATAATGTTCAAGCCAAATAAAAGTAAGGCGTTGTCTGTGGATATCATGGCATATGTGGCACAATGCTAAACTACTGTGTCTTCCCTCTCTAGGCAGAGGCCCATCTGCTGCCCCTGTAGTACACAGTGCTCCATACCTAATAAATCTATCACTCTTAATCAAGAAGATTCTTTTTCCTCCTGTCAGGCAAATCAGATCATCTCTGGATATGGCCTTTCCTGATTACTGAAGAAGTAAAAACTCATACCTTACCCTAAGGACACCTTCCTGAAGCCTCAGGGCCTCCATTGCTGCTGAATTTTACTTGTTACCTCTTCTATTTTTACCACAAGCTCCTTTAGGAGTCAGGATTTAGTTTGTGATTCAAAGGTTCTGGCCACTGACTGGGGTCATAGCTTTCTCTACCACTTACTAGGTGTTTGCTCTTGTGCAAGTTAAAGATCCTTCCCGTGCCTACATTATCTGTGAAAAGTAAAAAATAAAGAGTACTTATAGCATTGTTAAGAATAAATGATATACAGCACCTGGCCAGAACAGTCGTTGCCACTGGCAGGAGGAGGGGGATGGGTGTGGAGTAATGAGGTGAGAATTAACTGGAAGGGAAACAGGGAACTTCTTGTGATGACAGTAATGTTCTATATTTGATAAGCATTTGGATAACACAGATCTATGCATTTGTTAAAAATTCTGAATGTATACTTAAAATTTGTGCATTTCATTTATTGTATTATTATATTATAGTATAAATTTTAACTCAATGAAAAACTAGACAAATATTTAACTCTACTTAATGAAATACATGCTGAAATATTTAGGGGAAAGTATGCTGATGTTTGCAGTTTACCTTGAAATGTACCCAAAAATGAGACTGATGGATGGATAAAGGGTGGAGAGATGGATACATGACAAAAGTAGAGTAAAATGTTAATGGCAGAATCTTGGTGGTGGGTAAATCAGTGACCACCATAAAATTCTCTCAACTTGGTTATATGTTTGAAAAACTTCATGATAAAATGTTAGAAAAGAAAAAGCACTCTAGTACCAAGTAAGCACTAGTTAATGGCAGCAAATAACTATTTCTGGCTAGAGAGGGATGAATAGGAGGTCAAGGAGGGATGGAAACTGCTTCAGAGAGAAGGAAACTGCTACTTTTCTCATAAACCTTCCATTCCAAATTATGATTTAAATTAAAAAAAACACCTCTTGGGCATCCTTATATAAAAATCAATTACTTTCCTTTCTTAAAAAAACCAACCAGATTAACAACACGTGATTCAGGTAGTTACAGTTAATAGAGATGACACACACAGGGAAAGCAACTATTAGAATAAATTAAGTAGAAAGGGAGGAGAGGATAAAAAGCAAATATAATTTTACTGTATGACACATCCTCCTCAAATAGTTTTCTATTTATTGAATACGTGTAATGATGCACATTAAAAAAAAATCCAGCTTCCTACACATTACCCAAAAGGTACTGTTAACAGATAATAGATTTCAGTGCTGAATACGCTTGTTTGTCACATCTGATGAGGGGATATCAAAGTATCAGATAATTTTATTTTTTAATTTTTATTTATTTATTGCTGAGGAAGATTCACCCTGAGCTAACATCCATTGCCAATCTTCCTCTTTTTTTTTTTTGCTTGAGGAAGATCAGCCCTGAGCCAACATCCATGCCAACCCTCCTCCATTTTTTGCATGTGGGATGCCTCTACAGCATGGCTGATGAGTGAAGCAGGTCCGCATGGGGGATCCGAACCAGTGAACCTGGGCCACCAAAGTGGAGAGCACAGAATCGTAACCCCTTGGCCATGGGGCCGGCCCCTCAGATGATTTTATTTCATATAGCCCAGACTTATATCATGAGCTATAGGAGATGCAATGAACAAGACACCCACATGTTGAGCTCCAAAAAGTTAGTTAACTTAGGACCTGCAAATTATCTGCCTAACAGGGATAAGCAATGCTTACAGCAAGAGACAGAGGTACAACAGGAAAAGGAAAGGGAAGGGGAAGCTGGATGTGGGGTGCTAAGGGCCCCTAGGAATTAACTTCAGGTTTCAGAATAATTGTTGGCACTTCTCCCAGTCTTTGTAGCTGGATAAGATATTAGACACTGGCCTAAGTAGGTATTGATAAGAAAACCTGAAACACTCCTTATGCATTTTGAATATACTTACAGTTTCTTTTTCAAAAAATTCACTTACTTGATTGTCATTTTCATTATCTTTGATAACCAAATACCTCAATAAATTTAATGAAGCCATTATCCTGTTAATTAAAAATATATCATTTGTTACTTGGTATAGTTTTATATAGTCAGCAATTTCAATGAATAAAAGTAACTTTCAACCTTGGGAATACTTTTACAATTATGTTTGCCATTAGAAACTATTCCCTTTAACTTCTCTTTTGGAGTAGAACTTAATCACAAAATACAATTGTGGTCTCCAAGTTCACAAAATACAATTGTGAAAATTACTATTTTTTCCCCCAACAGAGCCTTATCTTTAATATTTGAGAATATCATCTCGTTTCCTGAATGTTCAGATTCCTTTAATAAATGCTTACGACCATTTCTAAACATTCATTCTAGTAAACTGAAAGTAAAATTACATGTTCTATATGAAAAAAATGATGTCCTAGAAAACAAAACAATAAAACTCAAACACATAAGCCTTTTATAAGTTACATACATGAAATTCTTAGTTTTTAGTCACCAATGCTGTAGTTGCAAATCGCTATGAGCTATATTGGAATACTGGGTACATCAAAGGTACAAAATCATACTGTTGGTCATACTTCTGGAAAGAAAAATTTCTTATTTTGTTTTTATAGAGTATCTAATTACTTAAATATGAAAATCTTTATGTAATTTTATGAATTAACCACAGATCATAAAATCACAGGAAAATACATTTTATTAGTTTAGATTCCCTAAGCAGGGGTTGCACATTTTATTCTGAATTTACTATGTGAACCTTAGTAATGGTCACCTCACCTATCTGAGTTTTGCAGTAGATCTGTTTCAGCCCCCTCCGGGAGAAAGAGCACCAAATCTAGAAGAGAAATCAGCTGTGGTCCTGTAAACCATTTGTTGTTAGGTGTCCTCTAAAAAGCAAAAGAAAAATTGGGAAAGGCTTTAAATAAAAGCTTGATAAATTCATGTGTTTTTCTAATACCTTGATACTACAAAAATAAACAATTACAACACATTTAAAATATATTTTTTAACTTTAATTTCCATTCTTTCCTTCACTATTTCCAAACAGCTGGAATAAACTCTGCCAGTCTGAGAACACTGGTGCGCTCTTTCTCTGTTTTCTATATGGAATTACTGAGTATTCACAGATTAGACTTCAGTTTCCATTAATATTTTAGAAGTATAAAGCAAAACAAAAGTAAGTCATATATTGCTCAAAAAAATTAATACAATTTAAATCTATAGTTAAAATTTCAAATTCAGGTTAAAAAAAGAGTAGAAATGGGGAAAAAAATATACCCTTAGCACTAGAGATAGAAAAGTCTATAGGGCAAAAATCCACATTAATGTATTCCACAAATGAATAAATATATCCTACAAAATAAATTGATAATTGATACCTTAGATATGCTCTTACCTTTAATGACATGTCAATCTGATTTTTGATATTTTGAATAATAAAGGCCTCCACACCTGAGTGATTACTTGTATTCAATAAGCACCTTGAAAGCAAAATTACAATACATTTGAAATTATCCTGGACTGTAAGATGAAAGTTTTACAAATTCAAATGGGCCATGTGTCATTTCTAGTAATATAAAAACCAGTGAAGACAATTAGCAAGCTGATCAACCAATTACAAAGCCACCAATTATGGTTTTTGCTGTCACCAGCTGGCAGATTCTATTTTAACTGGATCTTCCAAAAAGAAATTTCTATTAAACCAAATTTGAATCTTTTTATGCATACAATTGCAATGCTTTGACATGACAAGTATGAGTCCTAGTATCATAGCCTAAAAACCCCCAAAATTATTCTCTGTGAAAAGAGACTAGTCTGGTTAGACTAACTTAATTGAAAAGAGAAGAAACTCCGTATGACTAGCTCAAGAAAAAAGAGGGATGTTTTGGTAGACATACAGGTAGACTGGAACAGGAAAGCTGGTATAAGACCTAAGCATCAAATTGAGATTTCATAAACCTGCTCTGACTCTATCAGTACAAATGAAGAAAAGATAGGATCAAGAATGCTAATAGTATGGGCTGGCCCCGTGGTAGGCTCTGTTTTGGTGGCTTGGGGTTCACGGATTTGGATCCCAGGTGTGGACCTACACACCACTCATCAAACCATGCTGTGGTGGCATCCCACATAAAAAAAAGAAGAATGGCACAGATGTTAGCTCAGGGACAATCTTCCTCACCAAAACAAACAAAAAAACAACAAGAACAAAGAAAGAATGCTAATACTAGCCAATCCCAAAGAAGACTTTAACAATGCCCAAATCTGTTTTTAATTCATTGTTATTACCTAAGTGTCAACAAACTAAGGTCTGCAGGCCAAATCCAGCCGGTTGCCTGTTGTGTTTTATTGGAATACACCCACTCCCAATACAAAGACAAAGTTGAGCAGTTGCAACAGAGACTGTGTGCCCATGAAGCCTATGTTTACTATTTGGCCCTTTACAGAAAGTTTGCTGATCTTTTTTTTTTTTGAGGAAGATTAGCCCTGAGCTAACATCTGCCGCCAATCCTCCTCTTTTTGCTGAGGAAGACTGGCCCTGAGCTAACATGCGTGCCCATCTTCCTCTACTTTATATGTGGGACACCTGCCACAGCATGGCCTGCTGAACAGTGCCCTGTCTGCACCTGGGATCCGAACTGGCGAACCCCAGGCCACCGAAGTAGAATGTGCGAACTTAACCACTGCGCCACCAGGCTGGCTCCAACTTTGCTGATCTTTAACTCATAGGGTTGCTAGAATCTTTTCTCTCTCAAACACAACTATTAATAAGTTATACTATTAACTTAAAGTGAATAGCCTGTCAAAGTTATAACTCCAGAGCCATTAATTTCAACTGTGAATGGAGACTATTGACATGTAAATAATCTAGCAGGAACCTTATCAGTCTCAGTTTAATCTTTTAAGTCTATTTTAGTTTTAGAGTATTTCAATTAATTGAATTGAAATATACACTATTATTCATATAATATATAGGCACATATAAGTATAATATTTGATTAACCCTTCTCTACCCATCACAGATAAGAGAATTTATTATAATATGGCTTCCAAGTAGAGTTGAATTACATGTAAAACACACTGAAATAATATAACCTGGAATAAATGGCATTAATTTGGTTTTTAATCAACCACACACTTTGCAATTAACCACTCTTGATACATACCTAAATAACGTATATTTGCCTTGTGAATCCAACTTGTTAATATATAGCTGAAGCATAGCTAAACTCTTTTTCCTCTAAAATGGAACAAACAATATTGTTACATAAACTGAATAAAGATGAAATGATTTATTAAAATTTCTCAATGTAACTCATTATTATTTAGTCCCAAAACATTTGCATACCAATGTCTCAATGGGGCACAGCGTCATTACTTTGACTAAGCCCTGGAAATAAGAAAAAATTTCAGTTCAGATGTTATTAGATTATTCTGACTGCAAACAACTATATTATCAATGGAGAATACTAAAAATTAAGACAACTGAGGGTAGGAGATGTAAAAATGAAGTAAATTTTTCTCTGAGCCTTTCATTCCACTATGTCTACAGGAAGCTAAGTGCAATCCATTATGTAAGTGATATTGAGTGGGGTGTTACAAGGTGTAAATTTAGAAGTGAATTTTCAATTATGTCTAGAGTGGCAAAAAAATGAAATCAAACATGCAGAAATAGAATCCATTCATTAAAAATAATCAGGCTTAATATACTAACAAAAGTCATGTTTTTCTATTTAAATAGTGGGAAAACAAGTTTCTACGTGGACATCGAAGGACCTACTTGTTTATGATAACTAACAAAGAGTACTAGGCAAAATAAATCGCAAGAGGGAAAAGCAAAATGTCTTTCTAGTAATGAGTCAGTGCATGCCTTGATGGAGTCCTGAGGACCTGAGTTATGATAAAAGTAAAGGAGATTCACTTTCCAAGGTCCCTACAGAAACAGTGTTAAGAAAGCTATGCTTTTCCACTAGATGCTATGCTGTCAGTCATGGTAGCCACTAGCCACATACAGCTATTTAAGTTTAAATTAATTTAAATTAAATCAAATTTAAAATTCAGTTCCTTAGTCACACTAGCCACATTTCAAGTGTTCAGTGTGGCTAGTGGATTTCATACTGTACTGCACAGACAACAGAACACTTCCACAATCATAGAAAGTTCTATTGGACAGCATGGCACTAGAGTTTTCAAAGGATATGGAGAAGAAAGTGGGAGAGGAGTCTGAAAAAGAACTTTACTTAAGTTCACAATAGCAAAGGAGCTGTTTTCAAGATCGGAGCACATATTTTACTTACCTGAGGTACGGTAAGAAAACTCTTGATTTCTAAGTACTGGTGAAGTAAACTGTTGTCTTCTATTCTCAGTAAACCATTCTCCAACAGATCCTACAGATTAAAATATATACAGGAATACATATATGGTAAAGTCAACAGCTGTATTTGTTGACATGACTATCTATTTAAATTACATTGGGTACAAATAAATCTTACCAATCCTTTGGAGAAAATAGACTCTTCTGTTCTGGAAGAGAACATTAAAATTTATCAACATGATCTTCTAAATTGCTTTAGAATTATTTTTCATTTTAGGAAAAATAAAGCAAAAACTGAAATTTAAAGACTTTAAAAATACACATCATTAAGGAGATTCTGCTGAAGAACTTTGTCAAAATTCTTAATCCATCTTTGATGTATCTTTTGATTTGGTTACTGACATACACATCTGACCAAAAGCCCACTCAGGGCTTATTTCCTGGTAGAAAATCACAAACAGCCAAGCGCTAAGAAATCACTTATACCTGATACAATACTATGTATTCCAGTTGATTAATCTGTAAAATATTTTCACTTTTTTATATACAAAGAATTAAATGCTTTCCATTTGTGATAATATATATTCTTAAGTTTACAATCATTGTTAACTAAACATTTAAGATCTGTGGCAAAAAATATTTACTCAGGCTCCAGGTTCTTATTCTAACCATACGAGGAGTCAAAATTGTTGTTTTTGGCTCAGTGACTAAGTTTGGAGATCTTAAGAATATAGAACTTAAGATTCAAATCAATACATACTCTCATTGTATGAATATAACAGGAACTAAGTAAAGAGAAAGTAAAATCATTAAGACATACATAATACAGTAAATTTACAGAGTTAATAACTACTTGTGCCAGGAGACCCTTGGAAATTCCTGCCTTGTAGGCCGAGGCTTTGGACATTTGCCATGTTACAAATCTTCCTTCACCTGGGAAGAGATGGGATTGATAAACTGTCACGAGTGTTCCTAAAGGATAATTCTAAAAGGCCCTGACTGATCTCAAGAGATAATTTAAACATGTTATAGGAAAAGAAAACAAAGCATATAGTTTTGCAAAATTCTTAAATATCTGTCTGGAAAAATTATGCATACCTATTAATTTGTAATTTTTTTAAAAGAGAAAGTCTTGCTTCTTATTGACTCAAATGAGATAAGTTGTTGAATGATATCACTGTCAATAATCTAAGTTATAATGGGTGGGGTCAGGACCTCTTTCCTTTTGATGCAGTTCACAGATCATGTCCATGAAGCAAAAACATGGATGAATTTCTTTTACTGACAACCCCTCCTTAGATGGAGGATGTTGCAATGGCATAGAGGTGTTTCAAATTACCAACTTTTGAAATAAGGTAAGAAACCTCAGAAGCAGATGAGTGGACATTCCCTCATGAGACAATATTTTAATATTATCTTGAGTTTAAAATAAAAGAGATTTTGCTGTAAAACCTCTGACTCATTTCTGTCTCTCTGTGAATGTTTGTTTCACTGTTTTATAAAGTAACCAGTTAATTAATTAGGGCCTGGCAAAGAGAAGGTAGTCTCCACTGATCTTGACAGGACTATTTTAACACTACTGTTTAATTCTGAGATGCCATCTAAATGATCTTACCTTTGTAAAAAGACTTCAATATGCCCCATATTAAATTGCAAAAGGTACGATGGGCTAAAATAGAAAAGAGGAAACCCAAACATATATACATACACATATACACATGCATTTTTAGAAATTTTACATACATAAATACTGTTATAGGTTGAATTGTGCCCCCCTCGAAAAAGATACGTTGGAGTCCTAACCTCCAGTACCTCAGCATATGACCTTATTTGGAGACAGGGTTTTTTAAATTGGGGTGGACAGGAGCAGAGCAGCCACCTCTCACCCTGGAGATAGGGTCTTTACAGAGGTGATCAAATTAAAGTGAGGTCATTAGTGTGAGTCCTAATCCCATACGACTGGTAGCCTTGTGAGAAAGGAAAATGTGGACAGAGACCTGCACACAGGGAGAACACCATATGAGCATGAAGGCAGAGATCGGAATGATGCATTTACAAGCCAAGGAACATCAAAGATTGCCAGCAAACCACCAGAAGCTGAGGAGAAGCATGGAACAGATTTCCCCTCACAGCCGTTAGAAGGAACCAATCCTACGCACACCTTAATCTTGGACTTCCAGCCTCCAGAACTGTGAGACAATAAATTTCTGTTATTTTAAGTATCTAGTTTGTAGTACTTTGTTATGGCAGCCCAAGCAAACTAATATACACACCTAAGTCATTTTGGTGGTAGACTGTGATTTAGTGTATAGGCTCTGGGGTCAGACAGAATTATGTTTGAATTCCACCTATCCCACTAGTTGTATGATCTTGGGTGGTATCTTGTTTAAGCCTGTTATTTTCATCTGTAAAATGAGATAATGCTCTATTTCATAGGGTTATTATATAGATTAGAAATGCATATAAAGCTGTTAGCATAGTGTTTAATACATTGTGAGGATGCAAGTGGTAACCATTATTGCAACACTTACATACAAATATATCCCCATGTATATTCATACATAAATATACAAATGGACACAAAGAAATATACCCAAGGCCTGCAAGCCAAATACAAAATCCTATTATCATGGACCTTAAAGTTTAAAAGGTATTACATTATAAAATTATATATTTATTTAATAAATAATTTTGATAAACTTTATGGGAAAAGAAGGACAAAGTCAAGGTAATTCTAATAGGAAGATTCAACCTAAATTGGGTGGTGAGAAAAGGCTTTCCTCAGAAACTGACAGTTAAGGATAAAGATGGTTCTAAGCATATACAAAGGCCCTGTAGCAGGAAAATTCATGACACATGTGAACAAGAAACCAAGAGGTCTGCACAGTAAACAAGAGGAAAGGTAGTAGGAGGTGAATCAAGGCAATAAGGCAGGGACCAGATTATTCGTAAACTTGTCTCATGGGAAGGCATTTAGACTTTATTCTTAGAGCAATAAGAACACACACAAGTGTTTTCATTAAAGGACTACTCTTAAAGCTTCACTTTCTAGTGTGTTGAGAATGAGCTGGATTACAAGGGATTGAGGGTGGATATATAACTATCCATTCAGGATTATATCAGTAATCTAGTGAAAAGATGATCGTAATTTAGACAACCCCATGGGTAACTGGCCAGTTCCTTCCCTTATAGTTCAGAGTGGTCCCAACAGCTTCAAAACCAAGCCTAGGTTAGCACTTTCGGACTCTTGTCCTCATCATTCCCTTATGTTTATTTCAATAGTCCACCCTCTCACTGCTTGACTACTACTGGCTTTAACAGATTATAGGCAATATTATTTAGAATAAAAATAACTTTTGTAAATGTATTACTACATTAATAAGCATACTGGACATTAGATAAATGAGTTTGATGATATTCCTTTTAGAATACATGAATAAACCAAACACTAACTCCTACCTTAAGACCATTGGAAGCTGATCAATACTGATGCCCTGTACAAATACTAGATATGCCAGGGAAGCCATAGAGTCGGCTAATTGTTTGCCTTCTTCTTCCTCAAATTCAAGATAATCCCACGTCCTCTTTTTCCTTCCATGATTAAACAGCACTTTGGGGAAAGGATGTCCAATTGCTGATAAAAAACCCTGTGAAACAATAAAAAAGGAAGCTATAGCAGACAGATTCTAGTGTGCCCTCCCCCATTCATATTCACATCCTATATAATCCCTTCCCCTTGATTGTGGGTGAGACCTGTGACACTTGCTTCTAACCAACAGAATAAGGCAAGATGTCACTCTCATGATTAGATTATAAGACAGAAGTGAGGGGATTTTTGCAGATGTAATTAAGGTCCCAAATCAGCGGATTTTGAGTTATTGAGAAGGGAGTCTATCCTGGATGGGCCTAACTTAATCAGGGAGAAGGTCTTTAAAGAGGGTCCAGGCTCTCCTTGAGAGTCAGAAACTCAACCCTGCTGGCTTTAAAGAACTAAGCTGCCATGTTCTAAGAAGGCCCATAGAGAGAGCTAGGTGGCAAGAGCTACAGCCTCTAGGAGCTGAAAGTGGTCCCTAGCGAACAGCCAGCACGAAAATGGGAACCTCAATCCTATAGCTTCAAGGACATAAATTTTGCCAAGAACCTGAAAGAACTGGGTGGAAAGATAAAAAAGTTGTGGGGAGGGATGGGGTGATGGTTGCACAACAATGTGAGTGTACTTAATGCCACTGAACTGTACATCTAAAAATGGTCAAAATTGTAAATTTTGTTATGTATATTTTATCACATTAAAAAAAATCCTTCAGAGATATCTGAGATCAATCTAAAAATGTGAGACATACAACTATCACGAAATGATAGTAAACTAACTACTTGGATAAAGAAAACTCTGGGAAAATGCTCCATTGACCACCGTCTGCCTAGATACAGAGTGGGCAGAACAAACACTGTCAGAGGCATCAGAGGCTGAGGACACTGCTGGTATCACAGGTCATATGGGCTCTTGTGTCATAAGAGAAAGAGAAGCATCCCTACGTGAGTGGACAGGACTACAGTTTTTTTGTTTTTGTTTTTGTTTTTTGCTGAGGAAGATTCGCCCTGAGCTAACATCCACTGCCAATCTTCCTCTTTTTCTATGTGAGCCACCAATACAGCATGGCCACTGACAGGTGAGTAGTATAGGTCCCTGCCTGGGAACCAAACCCAGACTGCAGAAGTGAAGTGTGCCAAACTTAATCACGAAGCTACTGGGGTTGGCCCAGGACTACAGTTTAACCTTTTTTTTGAGGAAAATTTGCCCTGAGCTAACATCCACTGCCAATCCTCTTTTTGCTGAGGAAGACTGGCCCTGAGCTAACATCCGTGCCCATCTTCCTCTACTTTATATGTGGGATGCCTGCCACAGCATGGCTTGATAAGTGTTGTGTAGGTCTGCACCCAGGATCCAAACTGGCAAACCCCAGGCCACTGAAGTGGAATGTGTGAACTCAACTGCTATGCCACAGGGCCGGCCCCTCTTTTTTTTAAGGAGGGAAGGAGAAAGAAAAAGAGAGACTCAGGAAATACAAGGTCACGCCTATGCCTCTTTTACTATTTCTAACTCTAGTATACTAGAAAGCACCTGAGCTTCAGAATCCAATGGAATTGATTTGCATTTTGGTTCTACCACTTACCAGCTGAGAGACACTGGATGAGTTACCTAACCCCTCTAAAGCCTCAGTTTCCTTATCGAGAAAATGACATGATACTTATGTCAAATACTAAGAAGGTCCACACAAAAAAACATAAGAAAGTTAAGATCACAACAAATGTCCAGAAGTCAAAAAAGAATGACAAAAACAGGTAAAGCAGAATGAATACTGACCTTCCACATATTCACTCATTTATCCAACAAACACTTAAGTGCCAGGCACTGGGCCTGACATTGTGGGAAATTATAAAGCCAAATGAGACTTTCCCAGCCTTTAGGGAGTTAAAATCTGCTAATCCCAGATGGCTCCATTAGTCATTTCAAAACACAAAAAGGAACCATGGAAAATCATCCTCAGTCATGAGACTGCTAGTCGGCTACCATACTGCTGTACTGATTTTAAAAGCCACGCACTCTTGTTATAAGACTTAAAGTTTACTGTACTCAGATTCCAAACATCCTGTTAATCATGAAGCTCCATTTCGTCATTCAGCCAATGCTATGTGTGTTTTTTTCCGGAGTTAAGGTTAGCCTTTTAAAAAAATCATCAAATGTAATCATCACAGGTAACCAGATTCTACAGTGCTGCTCTTTCCCCTCTGATGGTTCCCACCCCTTCAGCATATAAATACGCTCAAGTCCCCTGTCTCCCCCATTGCCTTCCTACCATAAACCCATGTCTTTTAGCTATTATCTCTCTTCTCCCTTACTCATCGAAACTCTTTTAAAGAAGAGGTTATCCTTTTTCTCATTTTTCATATACTCCTTTATCCACTTCACTGATTTTTGTCTCCACGCAAACCATTCTTGCTAAGATCATCAATGCCACCTTACTTCCTAAATCCAGTGGGTGCATTTCAACTCTTACTGTACAGGCTCTCTCTGCTGTGTTTAACAGTACCAATCACTTCTTTCTTCTCAAAACTCTACTATCCCAGTATTTCTACCACCTCTTTGACTCTTTTTTCCTGGTCTCTTGGTGGGCTCATCTTAGGTGCTGGTACCCTGCAGGGTTCAGTCCTGAGCCCTTTTCTCTTCTCACACTGATCTACCTCTTTAGGTGATCTCATCCACTCTTGTTCAAAATTTGCTCCTTAAAAACCGGTTTTCTCTGGGTATTAGAAATATATTAAGAAATTTTTGTAATCTTGTTACACGTCATAATGGCACTGTAGTTATGTTTTTTAAAAAGTCCTTACCAATTAGAGAAGCATATTTAAAGACTTATGGATGAAATGATATATCTAGGACTTGCTATAAAATACAGCCGCAAAAAAAGAGGGAGGATAGATAAAACAAGACTGGCAAAATGTCAGTAACTGTTAAAGCTATGTGATGGGTACACAAGGGTATGTTATATTGTTCTACTTTTCTGGATGTTTTTAAACTTCCATAATAAAAAAATTTTTTTTAAGCACAAGACCCCCTGCTCCTCGTTCTGTATTCTCTCAGTTATTGTCACCTTCATCTGCCTAATCACCCAAGCGAAAAACATCATGCAAGACCCAACCTTTTCACTATTCTTCTAAATCCAACCAATGACCAAATTTTGTGAATTTTACCTATGACAAAACTCTCAAATCAGCCCTCTCCTCTTCATCTCCACCACCATTTCCATACTCGGGCTCTCACCATTCTCACTTAATTCCCCAAAGACATCTAACTGGTCTCCCTACTTCCAATCTTACCTCCGTTAAATTCATCCTTCACTAAAGTGAGGAATCCAAAACAGTTTGAATACATCACTCCCAGGCTTAAAATTCTTTAACAGTTTCCAACTTTCATAGCCATCTTATCAAAATGGGGTACATAAATCATATACGATGGTGTTTATACTGCATCCAGGGGGTTATACTGTACTCTAGAATTAGCAACAATGAAGAGGCCCCCGACTCTTATGTGCTCCTGAGAAAACTATGTATCCCTATTTATATCAGTCACCAAATCATCTCTCATCCTCAGAATCTAGTCTCCCTAAAGTTCTGGCATCTCCTCTTCTAACCCCTTTTTCTACCCCTCCTCAAATTGAGACATCTGTCAGTCATGGCCTGGGGAACTCATGGTCATCAGCAAAATCCATTCTTCTCTAGATGGTCTCTTACCTCTTTTGCTCTAAAAGAAATCTGGTTCACCTCTGAAAACAACTGTTTTCTCTGCAACCTTCTTAAAGGGTTGCTATTTTTTTTTTTAATGTATCCATTTTACCACTGAACCTGGAAATAAAATATTTGTTCTCCTTGCTACTTCTAGATCATTCTCTTCCCTCCTCTCTACCATCCCTCAGCTTTGAAACTCATTTCATGTGACTATACCACCTCTACCCCTCCTTGCTACAGTCATTAGCAGACCCCAAAGTCACTCCATTACTTGGCTTTCTGACATGACTCATTACAATTCTGTGTGACTTAAATGTACAACCCAAAATATTCTAATACCCTGGAATTTCAGGTCCTTCACTTTGTTTAGTCCAGTGATCTCAGCCTCCATTCTCTCCTTAGAACACTCACTCCCATGGTCATACCCTAGACATGGTTATTAGTAACTGTAATCTTTCCATAATATTAATTTCAAGCATCCTGTTGTTTAACCTCTCATCTTTACAGCTCACTCCTTTTAGTAACCTAACTCCAACAACTTGCCACTCACACCAGGATCTACAATCTAGTGATCGCATCATCTTTTCGCTGTCTTTAGTATGTCCTAACTTCCCTCCTTATTCAGCTTAAATCCCACTGCTCATCATTAGTCACTCCCCTGCATAACGCTCGATGCTGTTAGCCCTATTGCTTTGTAGAATTCACACAGTTCTCAAAACCCCAACCTAATTAAAATCCAACTTTTCTCTTATGCTGCACATGCATTTGCGCAGCTGAACATGGCTGAAGAAAACCCACAGCCACAATAACAGCTCTAACTTGAAATTCATGACTATCAATCTCAAGCACATATTTTTCTATATTTCAGATTAGTTCCCTATGACAGAATCCCAGCACATTTTAAAATACTCTTGATGCATAGTCAAATTGCTTTTAAGATAAAATTTACTTATTTCTGGAGTTATTCTGAAAATATTTATCATGAGCCTTAAAAGTGAAAATATGCTTTGGCACAGAAAATTCCATTTCTAGGAATTTATTTTAAGGAAACAATTAAAGAAATATGCAAAGATTTGGTTACAAGGACACTTACCATAGACTTAGTTAAAAAAAGAAAGTTGGAGTTATTTTATAGTAATGAAAAATTATTGAAAAATCTAAGTGTTGAAATTACATGGCCCAGGTTAAACACATTATTATGCTAAGTCCATATCACTGAATACTATTAAGCCAATGGAAAAAAATTCATGTTATACTAAGAGAAACAAAGCAGATTACAAAAGAGTATGTATAATATGATAGACTCTTTGAAAAAAACTATATATGTTTGTTTATTTATGACTATAAAAGTAGAAAAAACTCTAGAATTGTAAGATAATAGAAAATATATATATTGGTCTCTGCCCCCACTTCCTGGCACAGAGCTCCTGAAATTCTTCTAATTTCCTGGGTGATAAGAACACTAGGAGCATCTCTTATTCTATCATTTGTCTTTGACCTGTACCTGACACATGGCTCTTAAAACCCTTGTAAATTCCTAAGTACTAAGAGCATCTTTTGTTCTACTGAGGTGTCTCTGAGTGGACTCCTGGATGGGGACTAGTCACCAGAAAGACCAAGTCATAATGATTAGAAGCTTGAAATTTTTAGCCCCACTCCCCCAACTTCTCTAGAGAGGGGAGAGGGACTAGAAACAGAGTTAGTAATTGATCATGCCTACGTGAGGAAGCCTTCATAAAATCCCAACAGTACGGGGTTTGGAGAGTTTCCAGGCTGCTGAACGCATGCACCTACTGGAAGGGTGATACACTCAACTCCACGGGGACAGAAGCTCCTGCACTTGGAGCCTTCTCGGACCTCGCCCTATTTATCTCTTCATCTGGCTGATCATCTGTATTCCTTATCATATACTTTAATAAACTGGTAAACATAAGTAAGTGTTTCCCTGAGTTCTGTGAGCTGTTCTAGCAAATACTTAAATCTAAAAGGGGAGGAGGTCATGGGAATCTCCAATTTGTAGCCAAGTTGGACAGAAGTTATGGGTAACCTGAGGACCTATCATGTGCAATTGGCATCTGAAGTAGGGGGGCAGTCTCAGGGGACTGAGCCCTAAACCTGTGGGATCTGACACTATCTCCAGGTAGATTGTGTCAGAATTGAGTTAAATTGTAGGGCACCCAGCTGGAGTTGCAGAATTGCTTGGTGTGGGGAAAAAGCCCACATATTTGGTGACTGAAAGTGTCAGAGTGAAGTGTTCTGTGTGAAAGTAAAGGAGAAAGACACTGGAGGAGAACTGTAGGTTTTTCCAATGCACATGTTAATATTATTTATATTTGAGTAATAAAATTACTGGTGTTTATTTTCCATCTTTTTATCTGTGGTCTACAAAAATTACATATTGCTTTATTAATAAATGTATCAATTTACATGCTCATGTGCAGTACATGAGAACATGGCAGGATAACATTTTAGATTACAGCAGATATTAAAGCAGATTAAATTAGCTGTACTTACTATTATTTCAGATGCAAAATACCTTAAAGGATCATTTCCAGCTTCTTCAGACTGCTCAAGGAATTGTGCTGTCAGCAAAGGGCATTTCAAACTTTTGAAACAACTAAGGTATAAGAAATGGGTAACTATGAATACAGCACTTCCTGAGTATAAAATACCTCGTTCTATAAACATATCTAAGTTAATTTTACATGAAAAGTAACATTAACAGCAATAAATCAATGGCCTGTAAAACTGGTGATATAAGATCCTTCTTAGTAGTAATGGGAGAGCATGAGAACAATTTGCTAGACTCAGTGTGGTGAGATTCGTTTCTATGTCTGGAAAATGCCAACGGATACTGGATGTTTGTCTGAGGACCAGGGCTAGTCCAGACGCAGTTTTCATTAGTTCAAGGAAAAATTGGGACGATGTAGTAATTTTTCATAAAGCTATATTTGGTTTATTTAGACCACAGTTTATTCTGTGATTAAGCCTTTCCTATTTCCTTAGTTAAAATATCTTTTCTTTCACAAAATAATGGGTTTTATAAATGGTAAAAAAAAATTGTTAATGTCACCACCTGACAAGAAAGAAAGCTAACAGTAGTTTTAGTCTCCAAAATTTTAAAAATAAAATTATTGGTCCATGTAATTTAATAACCTAGTCCGACACTGTCCAAAAGAAATACAATGCAAACCCCATATATAATTAAAAATTTGTTGCATCACACTAAAAAAGTAGTAAGAAATAAAAGAAATTAATCAATAAATCCAAGGAGTATTTTATACTTAGAGCACTTCTTAATTTGGACTAGCCATATGGAAAGTGCTTGACTGTCGCATCGAAAGTGCATGTTTAGTCTACAGTACTCCTGGAGCAAATGCTGTTGGGAACTCTGCTACTGGCTTTGTGGTCAAGTTGGATGTTCAACTGTCTGCTGTTGCTGCTGCTGCTGCTGCTGCTCTCAAAGGGAGAGTAAAAAAACAATTCCCTCACAGAAAGACCAGATTCTTTGAGCTACACCTATCTATTTCCCCCACTTCTACTATTCACTTACTATGATGAGTAAAGGCAAGTCATAGAATATATGAAGTAAACAAATGGATTTTGGTTTTTTACTTTTTTAAAATATCAGTGCCTCCTCATTAAATGCCCAGGATATCAACTAAACCCTATATTCTTCTAAAATTCAAAATTTCACACTAAAGTTTATACTTCCATTGCAAAGAAATAAAGAAACATAAAATAACTGATCTATTACTTAAGTCTATTGTGAAGTGTTCTTAAAAATATACTTACAACTTCAGTAATTCATCCTTTAAGTTTTCATTTTCCTGAGAGTTTTCTTTGTCATCCATGACTTCTTCTACAAAAGGCTTAGTGAACTCTACTAAGGCCTTGCAACACTGACAAAGGCCATAGTCATCTGTTTGTATTTGTTCTTTTGAGTATGGAACAGGAAGGAGAGAGAGCTGACTCCAAAGGGTAGACAATGCTAATCCAACTGAATATGCCTTGTTGTTACGAAGTTTCTGAATCACTAAAATAGAGACCAAGTTGTTACTTGAGGTAGGCTCATCAAGTATGCTAAACATGGGACAAGAAGTCCAGTAAATGATGTAGAATTAAAACACACTTTTTTTTCAACTTTAACAATTCTGAAATCAGAGTGACACAACATAGCTTAATTGGCAGTGTTTTTTCCTTTTTAGTGGTGCATAAAATAACGGATCTTTATACTAAAAGTGTACGTTTACATGGCAATTTACAATGGATGCCATGAAATCTTGTTTAGGGATGTTTATGACAGGTTACATACTTAAGACAGAAACACTTCTTCCTATGTTTTTTGGTCGCTGTAAGTATAAAATAAGATAAAGTGTCTTGTAAACTATAAAGCACTGTAAAAATGGGAGGGAGTATTACGAGATTTTTCTTTCTAGAAGACTTCGAATATTTCAAGTGGTACAAAGCTGCTGGGCATTCACATTTAAAACAAACTTACTCTAACTTCTGATTCTGGGTCCTTCTATCAGACTCTGAGTTATATGTAGGTCATAAAATGAAAAAGTAGTCTCTTCTCATGGATAAATACTGTCTGCCTTGGTTGCCAACATCCATTACTTACCAATACTGTTACTGCACTCAGCCATGGAGCCTTTTCCTTCCACACTTGTTCTTTCTTCAGCAGTACCTTTGCTATTCCCAATCCCAACCTCCCGAGGCAGAGGCTGAGCAATGCCCTGCCTGATACTGTTTTTAACCAAGATAAAGGACTACCACAATGCTATCAGATTGAGGACTGCAGACACCACAGAGGCAATCCTTTAAATGTGTTTACAGGGAAAATTCTAGCTATAAGTTGCAGATAGGGAGGTTAGGCAAAAAGCTATAGATTACAACACAGCACATTGAAAACAGCATGACATTCAACAAAATATTACTGGGTACCCATTCTGTACCAGGTACTGTCATCTTTCTATGGGCAGCAGGACTCAAACTGGCACTGCTATTACTAGCTTAAGCAGAGGACTCAGTATCTAGTCATGAACTTTACTTTGGTATAGTGTTGACATTTTGGAGAAATATCACTTACATAGATAAAACCAAAAACACTTAGATATCAAAATACTTATTACCTGTTTGTAATGGCTGAAGTAAAAGAAGGATAATTTGGGATATCTGTTTTCCAGAGGGCTCTTCAATCAGTTCAAGCAAACCCAACAATAATTCCTTTGGATTACATAACTATAAAAATATTCACAATTGAACCTGTTTAATACAAGTTTTATTTAAAGCCAGATGATTACTATTTTTAAAAGAAGGCAGATGCTGAGAAAATATAATTATTTTTGCTTAACAGTAAAACACCTTATACAATTAAAAAAAATACACTAGCAAAACACAGAATCTGTTATTACCCTAGTCAAATCACTGTAAAACTAGAAAGAAGTAAGAAGTCAAAAGGTCTCCTAATGGAGAACTACATTTTAGAGATTTAAATTCCTGGCTAAAGGAAGAGCTAGAGAAACAGGGGAAGGAAGAGCCTGATCACCAGAGCTGAGGTCTCCTTCGAGCTGTGATCTACTCCAAAGGCTGCCTTAGTTTCTCAGGGCTTCCAACAGGTGGGACCTCTCTACGTATGTCAGGGTATGTAGATGAACGTGGTGTCTTCCTTTTTTTTTTTTTAAAGATTGGCACCTGGGCTAACAACTGTTGCCAATCTTCCTTTTTTTTTTTATCCTGCTTTATTTTCCCAAACCCCCCTGGTACATAGTTGTATATCTTAGTTGCAGGTCCTTCTATTTGTGGGATGTGGGACGCCACCTCAATATGGCCTGACGAGCGGTGCCATGTCCGCGCCGAGGATCTGAACCTTGGGCCGCCAAAGCGGAGTGCGCGAACTTAACCACTCGGCCACGGAGCCGGCCCCGAACGTGGTCTCTTCTGTGCTTCCTGAACAGATAAAACTTTGCATTGCCTGTGACTGACTGGCCACATCTTATCACCTCATTTGCCTTGGTTTTTTTTAAAAGCTCTCATAGTTAATAACTAATATCTAGATGGAGTTCCCTCTTTCCAAGTATATATTTGTGTTTATTTGTACTGATCTCTAAGTAGCTTCTTACAATGTCCTTTTTCTCAGAATTTATTTTTCTTAACCATCATTTTTTTTTTTTTTTTAAAGATTTTATTTTTTCCTTTTTCTCCCCAAAGCCCCCCCGGTACATAGTTGTGTATTCTTCGTTGTGGGTTCTTCTAGTTGTGGCATGTGGGACGCTGCCTCAGCGTGGTCTGATGAGCAGTGCCATGTCCGTGCCCAGGATTCGAACTAACGAAACACTGGGCCGCCTGCTGCGGAGTGCGCGAACTTAACCACTCGGCCATGGGGCCAGCCCCTCTTAACCATCATTTTTTACCTATAACTCTATTAACGTTTTACCAAAAGTCTCTTTTTAAGATTGTCAGTCACAACTAATCTATTTTCTATTCCTATTTCCACTGTGCTCACATGCATTCTAGGTTTTTCATATTCTTTTAGGGAGCAAACCACAGAGGAAAGGGCAATGAGATTTGATTCTAGTTCCAACGTTGCCAAAAGATCACTGTGGCCTTGAACTAGCTCTAACCCTTATCTCTACATCTAGACAATCAGCTACTTGTTAAAAATAGAGCTTCTTAGGTCTCTCCTTGGAGGTTCTCAATCAGAGGGTCTGACGTGAGGTTAGGTGATTCTTATATCCACAAAGTTGGGGAAACTGAAGTGGACTTGCCCATCCAATCAATAAGGTTGGGTCTTTTCTCCGAAGAGCTCTCTCCTGTATTTTCATGAACTAAACAGCGTTCTCACGAAAAACAAGCATTAAACATTAAAGGGAATTATAAAATACTGCTGCGTATTCTAACAAAGAGAACCTAGTTTTAACTTACCTTTACTAATAAATCAAGCATCAGAAAATAGTATTTCCTTTTATCATCTTCCTTGTCATTCCATAAAAGGCATCGAACAACAGGACCAACAAGATTCCAGCCCATATTCTTGATGATGACCTATAAAAGCATTTTGAAAGTAAAGCAAATACTGCCATCTATAGGACTCTCACAGTGAGCTTTCTTAACTTGGAGGAACTTAGAATTTCCTCTAAAATAGGAAAGATGAGTCTTATGACATCTCACCATTGACTTCCTAGAGTTGGCTGCTAACAGATACCAACATTTTAAAGTAGTATTTAATGCGTTCACTGAGGAAAAGCAAAGGGGCCTTTACTTTTCCAGGTAAGGTGGTCTTTCCCAGGATTTAAACAGGAGACTTAATTTTCTGAATATGAGCAAGTACTTAATTTTCAAAAAGAATTTTGCTCCCCTGATTCAGAAAGAAATCCAGTCAATGCTCATGAATGTTCTACAGTTCCCCAGAGAATCTCTAAATATATATTATAGTCATGTAACTTATGTAAAAGAGGGGATGCCACTTCATTAACTTTCTCTCCTATAGATGAGTTGCTTCTATTTTCAAAGGTATTTCAGAATGCTTACCAACCAAGAAGTTGTTTATAATTAGTGATGCACATTCATTATCAAAACCACTGATTTTCAAAACTATCAACAATATTCTCCACTTCACTGGCCTGAATTCTACTTCAACTCCTCAGTATTTATCAGTATATAAATATATGTCAGGTCCCTAGAGTATTTTAGGTGCTAGAAAAAAAAGCAAGGAATATATTAGGTAAGATCTCTATCCTCACTGAGTTTACATTCTAGGTTCATTTGTAAAAAAACACATCTAGGAAGAAGACGAGCAGGTTCAACACCTGCTCCGTGACCCAGTCGTATAAGATAATAAAGGTAGAAGAGAAGGTCTAGCAGAATAGTCACTCTCCTCTGGGGAAAGCAAGAGGCGGCTTCCCAGAAGAGGTGACGGCTAAGCTAAGGCTTCTTAGAAAAACAGAGAAGTCTGTCAGGCACAGATAGGTGGGAAATATATTCACAGCTCTGAAACAATGTATAAAAGTATAAGACTTAACATGTCCTAGAGAACCAGCAACAGAATATGTTAGGGTATGTGAATACATAGTTCACAAAAGAGGAAGTACTATCCATTTATATTTTTGCTCATTTATCAACAGGACATTTTAATGTTTGCCTTCTCAATCTGCATGAGCTACCTATATGTTAATACTCACTTAGTCGTATTTATGACAAATAATTATTTGGTTTTTTGGTTGTCATTTTTTATATAGCAAAATATACTGATTTTTTTTACTGAGGAAGATTAGCCCTGAGCTAACATCTGTGCCAATCTTCCTCTATTTCGTATGTGGGTCACCGCCACAGCATGGCTTGATGAGTGGTGTAGGTCTGCACCTGGGATCTGAACCCGTGAACCCGGGCTGCTAAAGCAGAGCAGGCAGAACTTTAACCACTTGGCCATGGGGTCAGGCCCCTGATATTTCTCTTTGGTCCCCTTTCTACTGCTTTTAGGTTTAAAATGAATTTCCCCCTTTAGAGATTTATAAACATTCAAGTTTTTTTTTAAATACATATTTCACCTATTTTTTTTTATTCAATAAGATTTATATTGCAAGTATGGCATAAAATAAAGACTTAAATTTGATTTTCCTTTTTTTTAAACAAATAGCAAAACAATCATGCTTTTTACCTAAAGGAATAGATAGTTCAGTTGCTCTCTCTGAACATTTTTTCCATACTAGTTATTTCTTCTGCCTGGCACGCTCTTTTCCCAGATAGCCCCATAGCTGACAGTCCTGCTTCCTTCAAATCTCTGTACAGTTTTACCCGGCACAGTTCATCCCCCATGCTTTATTCCTCTGTGTAGTATTTAGCACTTTCTAACATACTACATAATTTATTTATCATGTATATATCTGTCTTCATTAGAATTTACAATCCATATGGGCAGTGAGTTTTGTTCACGACCAGATCTATTCCCAGCATCTACAGTAGGGGCTGTTACAAAATAGATGACCCATAAATACAGGTTGAATGATGTCTACTACTTCTAAGTGTAACAAATTATCCTCCCTCCAAAGATCTGACAGTCTCTTCTGTTTTCCTCTATTTTTTGTGTTGCTTGACTTTTAATATCTAGGTCTTTACTAATCAGGAATTTATGTTATGTGGTTAATTTTTCCCCAAATTACTAAAGATTTCTTCCACCACTACTTATTACATAAGCCTCTATTTGCTTTTCAAAACTTACTGTGAGACTCTACTTTTCCAACTATTTCCCTTTCCATAGGTTGACGTCTACCCTAATAAATGATTCTCTGAGAACAATTAACTATAAGAGAAATTCTAGATTTGAATAAGATTTGTATACCTGAGGTGAAAAAAAAAGAATTTTGATAAAATATTCTACAAATAGAATCCCAGCTGCAAAGTATCCACTCACTATGTAAATAGTAAATGGTCATGAGGAAGGGGAGTAAACACTGACTGACTATCCGTAAGCTACACCTTATTTTAATTTAATACTAACAACCCTACAGGGTAAGATTGTTATCCTCAATTGATAGACGAGAATACCAAAGTTTAGAGATTACTGAGATGCCCAGTGTCCAAGAACTAAAAGGTGGCAGAGCCAGGATTTGCATATAAGTCTGTCCAGCTTCAAGGCCTGTGTTTTTCCCACTATACCAGCGGTTTTCAGTGGGGGCAATTTTGTGCCCTTCCTACTGGGGACATTTGGCAATGTCTGGAGACATTTTTGATGGTCATTACTGGTGGGGGAGTGGGAGTACTGCTACAAAATATCAGTAGTGCCATCTTGAGAACCCTTGCAATATAGTATCTTAGGAGAAACTACTATTCATATGGCTCTTAAAAAAAAAAAACATTTAACACAAAGCAGATTAACAGTACATCTTGATCAATCTTGATTGTGTTACCTGACAAGAAAATTAGGTTGTAGTCAGTTTTAAACACTGTCTTATCAATAGCTGAACCTTTGAATTTAGCAGACCACACATTACAAAGGTGATTCTCAAGCTATTAAGGCTAAGCTCCACTATGCTTAAATCTATCACAATCATCTAATCTCTAATCATGCACAAATCTACATCTTAATCTCCTATTTCTCTACTGGGCTTCAACCATTACTTATCAACTGCCTGCTGCATTTAAACTTAAAATTTCCAAAATAAACTTATTTGTCCTCCTTGAGGAACTTTCTCCTCTTCTTAGGTTGCCTTTTTCTGTTTGGGACATATATTATCCTCTCAGAGGCTAGAAACCCAGTCATCTTTGATGCCTCCCTCTCTCTCATCCCACAGTCAGTCAACCTCCTCAATTCCACTCTAAAACTTCCTTTCAAGTGCTACACAGATGCGAGGCAGAGCAGAGTGCTTGAGAGCTCTGAAACCAGGCTGTACAGGTCTGAATCCTGGATGTCACATAAAAGCTGAGTCACTTTTGGGAAAGTTATTTATCTTTCAGTGACTATTTCCTTATCTACAAAATGAATTTGATAGTATTACCTATCTTACGGAATTCTGGAAAGGCCAAATGAGTTAACAGATGTAAAGCACTTAGTAACTGGGACATAGTAAATAATAAATATTACCTACTATTAATTCTATCATTATTAGCTAAAAGTAAGGCACTCTCAAAAGTTATCCTCTGAGAACACAAATGAATGGATGAATAATAGCATCATGTGGCTATTCCCTTCCTAGTACACACAAACATTGTACTTACCTTATTCTTTTCATTTTGAATAATTTCTAATAGCTGCTCTACGTGCCCTTCATCTATGCATCTTTGGCCTGCTACCTGAAATAGGCCAAAATCTTCTTCTTTAAAGTCTTGCTCATCTAGGATTTGCTAGCAAGAACAAAATAAACAAAAATCAAACACGTTGAGGCAAATAAAAACTCAATAACTACTTGATTTCTCTGAAAAAAGGAAATCTGTCTAAATTCTAGATAAGTTGCACATAAGCATATGTATGAAAATTAGAATTAGTCTAATAAATACTTTAATGAATGATCTTGAAATTCACCCTGCTAAAGAAATCTATGGTAAGGATCAGCATTAAAAATGTAAAAGGTTATTTAGACAAGTATGTCACTTGGAGAAACAATCCAATCTACCTTCTTGTCCTCATCCTATTTTTTCATAGGTTAAAAAAAGCAAGGATTAAAGATGATTAACAATTTGAGTGATCGTTAAATGTAATTAAAAATAATCTGTGCCCTTCCCATATTTTGAAAGGTATTTAATTTTACAAAAAGAAAAAAAAAGAATTACTTACACATCTCTTTATTATAGATTGAAGTTCCTCCACAGCCATTCCTATTTTTCCTAGTTTTGACGCTGAAATGTACTAATACAAAACACACCGTTAAGTATCAGTGATACTACATTGAAGTACTAATAATGTTTCTTTCTGATGAATTAGTAGTAAATACAATAAAGAAAACAGAAACTTTTAAAGCTGAAATGTTTTTACTGAAAGTTAGTATGTTAGCCTAAGAAAATAAAAATGTATTAAAAAAAAAAAACTCCTGTTGCATCTTTTTCTTCCAGGAGCAGTTTTGAAAGATACACTTAAAAAAAAATCCTCTAGAGCACCCCCAGGAAGCAGCACAAATATGGACTATATAAATGACTTTAAAAAGGCAAAGTATTTCTTTTCCAAAAGGTGGGCTTGAAATCCGTTCTAATCATTAGGGAATTTTTTATTTTTTAACGTCCCACCAGAGCAACACAACTCACCCAGACAGGGTGAAAGTCCAAATGCCCTTCACCCCAAGTGTGACCGAGGCATTTCCCTGTAAGAGATGCGCTCCCCCAGGTATTCAATCCAGACAGGGAACTGGCTGTATCGCACGGATTCGAGGCGGCCGGCGGCCTCAGGGGACTAGCGTTCCCTTCCCACCGGCCGCCGTTTCTCCGCGGGAAGGCCGAGCCCCAGGCCCGCAGCGGAGGCGCGGCTGGGCCGGGTCCTCCCGGCAGCGCGCTCCAGGGCGGATGAAAGCGCGGCGCGCGTGCGGGCGGCATCCAAGGAGGCCATTTCTCCCGATTCCTGCTCGCCTTGACGTTCGGGCCCCACCGCCTCGTGGGGCCTGGTCAGCCCGCGGCGCCGAGTCCTCCGCGGCTCACGGCCCACGGCGCCCAGCCCACGGCGAGCCCCGACACCCAGACCTCCCGGTGCGCCCACTTACCGGCTGGACCCCTCGCCCCTCTCTGCAGGCCGCTCCGCCTCCTCGGGCCGCGCAGGCCGCTCTCCGGGCCCGCCCCCCGCGGCCGGCCCCGCCCCGCGCTACGCAGGGAGGCGGAGCCTCGGGAGGAGAGGCCGAGGCCGGTGCCGAGCCGGTGAGGAGGCTGCCATGGCGGAGCCGGTCGGGCTGCGCGCCGCTCGCCCCAAGGCCCGGGCCCCCCGCGCCGCCCGAAGCGCCGCAGGTAGGAAGCAAGGTCGCTTCGCACGCTCGGCCCCTGAGAACTGAGCCCCGACAGGGTTCCAGACCGAGGCGCGCGGGGCGCTCCCGCAAGGCTGCCCCGGGGGAGGTGGTCTTCGGGGCGGAGAAGGCCAAGAGCTTCGTCCCGCCGTGCTCGCGCGTTCTGGGGAAGACCGCCCGCCGCCCCCCGTCTCTTTACACCAGCCTTCCACGATTCCCCCGTCATGGGCTGTGCTCCAGTCTCGGAGGGAGGGGCAGCAGACGTCCTGGGAGCCGGGAGTCGCCAGAGTGGGCAAGTGACCAGGGCAGCGTCGGCGGGCAGTGTGCAGCTGGCCTTGGACCCAGCGCTGGTCCTCCTTCCAGAGGTCCTGTGGCTTGGGTGCCCCCGTTCTCTGAGGGCTCAGACTTCCCGCTCTCCCCGGGAGCGAACCTTTGGGGGACGGAGAGAGGTTGCCCGTAAAAGTACCCACATCTCAGATTTTTTGGGGAGTGCTTAACTATGCAGCTCTGATTCAAGACAAAATTCAATCCCGAAAGAGGTGCGTTTTAACCAAAAAAATTCGGGAATAATTAATTAATTTACAAGAACAAATTGGATTCCCTTCCCATTTCATTTGATTTACAAACAGGATTGGAAAGGAAATGTGTGGGAAAGAAGAAGAGATGTCTACGGTTTATGTGGGCACGAATCTGTCCTGTAACCTAGTGTGTGTGTGTAAACTTGACCTACTGTTTTTTTTCATTGTAGGTAGTAAACAGACAAGTGCTTTGAAACAAGAAGATGCTTCCAAAAGGTATGAGAACTACTTGGACAACTGCATTCTCTTATCTGTTTATCTGACATAAATTGAACCATTTTTGAAAACAATAATAGGTGCTACCTTAGAGAAAATTATTCTGAGAGAGAAGGGAAAGATCTGGGAAGCACTGTAGATTCTCACATAGACTGTTACGTCCCCCTACTCCTTGCTTTAAGAAAACCAAATCAGACCCTTTTAGATTGTTGGTGAAGGTATGAGTATCTCAGAAAGGTAATAAGCAGTCCTGAATTAACCAGGTTCTCCTCTTCCACCTCTTCAGATACTCTCTCCTTTTTTTGCTTTGTATGACAGGGACTCCAAGAAGCCTTTTCTGTTCTTTGTTTACATCATGTCCATATTTTCAGCAAAAAGTTGTCCTGTACTATCTCTTGGCTTCTCCTAAAAAAGGCAAGATTTATATCCTGTCACAAAAAGTTTCCAGAATAGGAGTAGTCTAGGAGGATGATTTAAAAATGTATATCTATGATTTATCATTTTATGAAGTATTGGCTTTGGCCTTAATTTACTCGCTCTTTCAAAAGTTATTTACCCAGTGTAGGATATGCTAGACCTGTGTTAGGCCCTGAGGATATGGTTTTGAACAGAATAAACACAGTCCTGTCTAGTGGAACAGAGAAATACCTATTAAATTATCACAAATAAGTACAGAATTACAAATTGTGATAAGTGCCATAAAGGAAAAGACTATGATGTTATGAGGAGGAGCTAATAACAAGAGTCCAGTTTAGTTGGAGGTTGGCAGGGAGGATGGCAGGTTTTCAGGGAGAGACTTCTCTGAGAAAGTAATAATTAAGCTGAGACTTGAAGGCCAAGTAGGCATTAACCGGACAAGGAGTAGTGAGAGCGCATCTCCAGCCAGAGGTGGCAGTATGTATGACAAGAAAAAGCTTGGACATTTAAAGAAAGGAGAGATGCCCAGGGTGGTGTGCAGTGTTCTGAGCAAGGGAAGAAAGAAGCGTAGGAAAGAGTTAGAGAGGCAGGATTCCATTCTTAAAGTACCTGCTGGGCCATGGTGAGAAATTTCAATATTCCAAGTGCAAATGGGAGAACTTTAAGTAATAAAGTGTTAGAATTTAAGTCTAAAAAGTTTTAAGATGTTAGGGTTGGTGATCATCTGGGAATGGAGAAATTGGGTGCATTTGAGATCTGTTTTGGCGAGGCCTTCCCTGTGGAGCAGCATGGTTATCCTGACTTGGTTTTAGGAAATATTGCAAGAGTAAAGTTTAGTTAACATTGATATTGACAGTAATTTGCAACTCACCTCAACACTGATCTGACCACAAACCTGAGGAGATCATGTTTTATTCTGAGCGCTACAATTTGAGGAACATAGATAAGCTGAAATGTATTTTGAGCAGATCACCCAGGATGATGAAACAATTAAAATCCATGGGGGTAACCAAATAGTTGTTGAGGGGAGTGATTCTTTATGAATTTAGTCCCATTGAAAACTCCTTCTCCATTCCATCCAGGTGAATACTGTTAAGCCAGAAATGAAAGAACTTTGCAAAAATATCAAACAGTTTCACTCTTCACACTAAGTTTTTTATTTAAAAGATATATTAACATGTAATGGGTATATTATTATTAAATGAATTAATAAATGCTTTACAATTTTCTCACTTTTAATCTTAATATGGTAAATATCAACAGATATAATCTACATAAGCAAAAACTGTAATTTTAAGAGTATAAAGCAGTGCTGAGACAAAGGAGTTTGAGAACCACTGCTGTGCACCATACTCCCTGTCGTCATTTGGGACAGAGGACAGCAGTGAGACAGGGCTATCCGTGAGAAGCGGCTGTAGGTATCCATCCGTTAGGAGGAGTGGCTGTTACTGGAGGTTGAGGTAGTTAACAGCTTAGGTCAGCAATTCCTAACAGAGATTGTGTACTGATCATAGTACATGATGAGTACATAGCACATGATGGTACATAGTACATAGTACATGTCATAGTAGTGATCACAGCAAAATGAGAAAAATAAAATAATGTTTTTCATAAAGCTAAATGTATTCAGTATAAAGAACTGCCTTTTAATCTGTGTTCATGTCTTTTATACTTCCTTGATGTAAGAATGACTTTTATGAAATGGTGAGGGAATAGGTGTTAGTTGCAAATTTCGTCTAGTTTTAACGTCCCTGGTTAGCAATCCTGTGTCAGTCCTCCAAATTATTTTTATAAAACATATTGCTCCAGGCAAGGAATTAGAGTCTAAAGTCTTGGGAGTTAATGAAAGTAGGGAAAAACAGTGAGTACATTCTAGGTCCAGATATGAGAGCCAAGTCAAGGTCCTGGAGGCCAGCAAAGGTTTTTCCTGTAAGCAAATAGAAACCAGTGCAGGAAAGGAGCAAATAAGTCACCAAGATACTTGGCATCTTTGGTCCTATGGCAGTGATTCTCAACCCGGTTGCACACTAAGATTATCTGTAGCACTTTTAAGAAAACACCAATAACCAGGCCCCATCCTCAGAGATTCTGATTTAATTAGCCTGCAGTGGGTCCTGGGCATCTTTTTTAAAGGTCTCATCAGATAATCCTAATGAGCAGCTAGAATTGAGAACCACTGTGCCAGGGCCATTGTTTGATCAGATAGCCTCTGCCTTTATTTTCCATGTGTTTGGGGCCAGCAAAGGCTGACAGAGTCCCACTGGTGCCAGGACAAGAACTAGCCCTCCTAGGAAGATTGTTCTTTTCCTAAACCACATAGTCATACCAATTATGACATCAGTAATTTATTTAATCAGACTTTACAACAAAGTAAGTAAACACTTCTTTGCAGATATGACTCTGTCCTGTCAAACTGGGTGATCAGTTCATTTTTGAGGTTGATACAAACTTTTATTTGTAAGAACAGCCAAAGTCATCTTTTTGTCCTCTAATCTCTTCTGATTTCTAAGGATTTCATTGGAAAAACCTCCCTTTTTAGGTACACACAGGAATGATAGAGTATAAATTCTTTAACTGGCAAAAAGATTTCCTGTCATTTTCTATAGGAGTTTCTAAGTTCTTCCTTGTTCTTTGAGCTCTGGAAATCAAATAATCCTGTTATTATGGCAGATTTTATGTGTACGGTGCAACAGGTAGCTTGTTTTCTTTTTGAAAAGTATTGGGTCAAGGGTAACAGCATTAAAAATATGTAAATTTAATTTAAATAGCAAAATAGTAAGTTGTTAATGTATTTTAAAACAAAATTGGCTATGATAAAACTTACAGGTAGGATACTTATAAATTTTGAATATGTATTTTTTTAATTTTAGGAAAGCTGAACTAGAAGCAGCAGTGAGAAAGAAGATTGAGTTTGAGAGAAAAGCTCTACGTATTGTTGAACAGCTTTTAGAAGAGAATATTACAGCAGAATTGCTAAAGGAGTGTGTATGTGTTGACAGATTATTGCTTTTGTAGTACAAGATCGTTAAATCTATGCAACGTGAAACTTCCTTGCATTGTTGAAATTTTTAAATCTGTTCTCAGTCACCAGATGCAGGTATCAAGCTATATAATTTGTGCATTTTAGAATAATCAACTGTTATGCATTTCTTGTTGTATAATGACTTTAAAATGCACTAATGAAAAATAGCATGCATATTTTACCCCTTAGTAGCAGTTTTTTTATAACCGGTCTGCTTATCTCACTTGATTTCCATCACTTTGCACTAATGATCCCAATGTCAGTTTCCATATTCCATATGTTGTCTTATTTTAGTAACCGATTATTATTTTTGTTAATGTAATTCCTTTAATTTTTATATTTTAAAAACCTGAAATATAGATCACTTAAGATTTAACACATAACTGGAAGATTATAATCTGCATTAAAATTTTTTTTGTTTTCTTTAATGGCTTTATTGCATTAAAATTTTGAATGGAAATTTCTGTAATTTCTATTCTATAATTTCTATTATATCCTCATAATCCTTAAGAGAAAAAAGAAATAGAAAATTAAAACTCAGAGCTTCTATTGCAAAAATAATTCTTAGTGTAACTCAGATTTCTCTAAACAAGAGGAATATAAATATGGCAATATTTAGTTGAAATTGGTAACTGCATCAGAATCTGCATACATGGTGACTCTAAA